GCCCGGGAAGAGCGCAATGATGGTGCCAACTTGGGCCAGTGAAGCAACGTCCTCCACAACTAGACTGAAGAACAAAACGACAGCAAGTTGTCTGTCCCCCTTCCCCCAATTCCCTAGTGCTGTTCCCATCCCCCCAACCCCCAATAGAAAAAAAACCTTTAAAAAAAAAAAGTAAAGCTATTTATATACTGGTGAAGTTAATAAGGTCTTGGATAAGATTATAGGTAAACTCCATTTCCAACCTTAAACAGTCTAACAAAAAGTTTTCCACCACAGTCACATCTGGTAAGTCCAATTTCCAACAAACGTAAAACGAGCATGCTGGAGGCCAAGGGCACACACACCCCATAGGAGATGATAAACCTCATAACTAATAAGAAGACTATCAGACCAGCAGAAGGCTGGAAGGGATCTTGCCTTTTGCAATGAACTAGCCAGGAAAGCACTTCATGATACAGAAAAGAACAAATATAGCTTAAAAACTGGGCCTTTATTCCACCTGGATAATTATCTTAGTGCCCTAATGGTAACTGGTTTGTTAGTCCACTAGCGTCTCCCTTAATCACGCAAAAGTGTGTTTGCATTCTTAAAAGCTCTTGGGCATAAAAAAATGTAGTTTTCCTCTCCAGGTTTTTCTTGAAATATTATTGTGATCTGGAGTCCATGGTTTCAACTACATTTTTGACCATGGCATACTCAACCTATTAAGGTTTATAATTTTCTATTTCCACAACTATTACCTTGATGAAGGGTTAAGTATTCTGTATGATTTGGGTACAGTGTGCTATCCTGGTAAACAGAGGCAGGGGTTAGCTAATGTAGTGGAGAGGGGTCCTAAGTTATATGAAACCCTTAGTTCAAGCGTGCATAAGAACACTAGCTTAATTAATGGAGGAGCCCCATGTACCAGGCCCTGCCGACGCCTTGCACGCGTCACCACCCTATGAAACGTACTCTTAATCCCATTTTCGAGACAGGAAAGCTGAAACCTGGAGTGCCCAAAGTTCACCCAGCTAGTTAGTAGCAGGGCAGGAACCCGGGCTCACTGCTAAGCTAAACATGAAGAATTATCACCAAAGGGCAGTTTGGAGCAAAGCACTTCGGTCCAGCTGGACAGGTAAACCCGCAGGTAAATGCTCTCGGGAGCGCCTGGAGCCGCAGCAGTAACGGAAGACGCACCGACGGAAGCGGAACCCCGCAGGAGCAAGCGCGCGGGAGCCGAGCGGCGCTTCCGGCGGGGCGCCCCGGGCCCGCCTCTCGGGGGCGGGGCGGAGCGCCGCGCATGCGCCGGGGCGGCCGGGCGGGCTAGGGGCGCGTTCCGCGCGAGTTGGATGTCCCGGCTGCGGTCGCTACTGGGGCTCGGGCTGCTGGTGGCGGGCTCGCGCCTGCCGCGCCTCAGAGCCCAGGCTGACGCCTGTCGTGCAGGCCCCACCTGGTGGGGGCCCCGGCGGCTGATGTCAGGTGGCCGCGGGGACCCAGAGGTCATGGCGAGCACGGCGGTGAAGTACCTGAGGTAGGCGGGGCTCCGGGCGGGCGCAGGACGTGGGAGGACGGCTCTCCCTGCCGCGCGGGACCGGGAGCACTACGCCGCCCACGCGGCCCCGCTCGGAGCGGCGGGGCTCAGGCGATGGGCTTGCTCAGCCAGGAGGAGGCCCAGGCCGTGGACGAGGAGCTGTTTAACGAGTACCAGTTCAGCGTGGACCAACTGATGGAGCTGGCCGGGCTCAGCTGTGCCACAGCCATAGCCAAGGTCAGTGGCTCAACTCTCGACCCGGCCCCCGGGCCCGGGCACAATGCGGTGGGAGGAGCAGCTGCACCAGCCTGGGCTGCCACCGCCCCAAGCCCCTCTGAACCCCGTCTGACTCTGCCTTCAGGCATATCCCCCCACGTCCATGTCCAGGAGCCCCCCTACCGTCCTGGTCATCTGCGGCCCCGGGAACAACGGAGGAGATGGCCTGGTCTGTGCCCGACATCTCAAGCTCTTTGTGAGTATGTGGGGGACGGGCCGGTCTCCAGGGTCTGGGCTTGAATGACCCCTCCTTCCCTTCCCTCGTAGGGCTACCAGCCAACCATCTATTACCCCAAAAGGCCTAACAAGCCACTCTTCACTGCCCTGGTGACCCAGTGTCAGAAAATGGACATCCCTTTCCTTGGTGAAATGCCCACAGAGGTAGGTGGCCGCAGTTCCGCGCCCTCCCACGGTAACCAGTGCGCGCTGCTCTTCTCCAGGTTCCCAGCTGAGCTCCTCTGCGCCTCTTCCTCTAGAGGACAGACGAGGAGGGGAGGGACAGTGCCCGGCTCAGAGGTGCCTAGCTGTGTTAGAGCCGCCTCCTCCACGGGGGTCTTCTGAGTTCCCACCACCACCGTCTCTTAAGTTCCGGTCCCTCCTCCCCACGCAGGCAGTAAACACGTTATCCGCCCCTCTGAGGAGCTGAACTGAAGGCCTAACTAAACCTTTCTGCAGGTGCACGGACTTAGGGGTGGGGAACTTGAGAACGTGGGTGTTTTGTGTTTTTAATTAACCCATTTTACAGATGAAGAGACCGAGGTGCAGCAAAGGGAAATGGTTTGTCCAAAGTCACAGACCAGACCCTGACGCTCCTGACCCCGTCTCAGGCTCTCCCACAGGGTGGCCTCCCCAGTGACAGGCAGGCAGAGCTCGGTGTCTGGACTCAGCTCTGACTCATGGCCTCAGAATGCCATTTGAATGAGAAAATGCTGTGTGTGCTTCTGTGAACGGTCTGGGTGCAGGGGACAGCCCTGTCCAGCTGCGGGCTGACGTCCTTTCCTTCTCCTGCCCACCAAGCCCGTGCTGATTGATGAGCTGTACGAGCTGGTGGTGGACGCCATCTTTGGCTTCAGCTTCAAGGGTGACGTTCGGGAGCCGTTCCGCAGCATCCTGAGCGTCCTGAGCGGACTCACTGTGCCCATTGCCAGCATCGACATCCCCTCAGGTGCTGGGTCCAAGTGGGTTGGGGGAACTGGGGCCCTGCCCCCTTGACGTGGGTAGCTAGGAGTCCTGACGCTTGACCAAGGCTCAGTCGCGTCTAGAGGTGGCGCAGAACACGGCTTTATGGACCCCACAGCAGGGCCAGGGAGCAGAGCTCAGAACTGCCCTTTCCAAACGGCTCCAAAGCCTAGGGAGCGCCAAGGATGCGAGTTCTCAGGTGGGACACGGGGGCTCACATTCCCTTAGGACTAGGCTAGGGCGAGGTCTGGAAGAGGACAAGACGTCTGGCTTCGTCCACTCTTCCTGAATCCAACCCTCTCTCCAGGCTGGGATGTGGAGAAGGGAAACCCTGGAGGGATCCAGCCAGACTTGCTCATCTCCCTGACAGCACCCAAAAAGTCTGCCACCCACTTTACCGGCCGCTACCACTACCTGGGGGGCCGTTTCGTGCCACCTGCTCTGGAGAAGAAGTACCAGCTGAACCTGCCACCGTACCCTGACACTGAATGTGTGCACCGTCTGCAGTGAGGGGAGGCGGTGGGTGTTCTCCCCAATAAAGCCTTGGTGCCCCCTCTCCCAGAACTGGAGTCCTGAGAGCTCTCCTGTCAGAGGTTCATGGGAGATGGGCGCCAGAGGGCAGCCCTGGAGATAGGGTCTCATCTCCGGGCGGAACAAGCAAGGAGGCGGTGGTGGCACTTGGGACAAGGCAGACTGACTTTCAGATGCTGAGGTGAGCTGCACTTGCCCTTTACACTCCTGCTTCTCCCCAGTAGGGACGAAGGTGGGCTGGGTGCAGGTCTCTAAGCTTTCTGCGTCCACTTAACAGTGCAGCAAGACCACAGAAATTTCTTCAGGGCCCTCCGAGGAAACTTAATTTGTATTCAGGACCTTCCCAGGCTGGGACAGGACTGTCAGTCAGGACACACAGGCTGGGAGCCCAAGCTGTTTATTTAACCATTCGGTACTGAATGGTCCCACCCACAGACCTGCATTCCTGAGCTTTCCTTAGCCTGCACAGCAGTGAGAAATCAGGGTGTTTCACGCAAAGTCTACCTATGCAGCTTCTTTCAGCCAGGCTGCCCCCTCAGGTGCTCCCACACCCCCAGCACTCCTTGAGCCCTGGCTGCCTGGCTCCTACAGGCACTGGAGTTCAGATCGCTGGGTTAGAAGCTGCAGAGGGGACGATGCCCAGCCAACTAAGGCATGGCGCTGCCCCTTTCCTGAGCTGCTGGTGTCCGGAGCGGATTCCTCCTTGGGAGGGACCCCTCACCACCAAGGGGCCTGCCTCAACTCAGGTCTCAGGCTTCTACTCCTGAAAAGAAATCGATGGAGCCCTGCCCTGACCTGACCGCCACTCTCTTCTCTTTCTTCTTTTTTGCTCTCTGGTGGGTGCTGACTCCTTCCCCCTCTGCTGGCTGCCGCTGCTTCTTACTTCGGCTGCTTGAGCTGTCCCTGGGCCTGCTGTCCTCTCCGCCCCTTACACCCAAGACACCCTCCGTGGCCTCCGGATGCCGCCGCCTCGTTTTCTTACCTCTGCTCCCGCCCTCACTGCATGCTCTGTTTTCTGCTTCTGGGGTCCCTCCACCTACAACCGCCTCGACATCCCCCCCTGTGTGCAAGTCCTCACGCTGCCTTCTGCGCCTGCCACACAGGTCAGTGTGCAGCCGGCCCCCCGCCGCCTCTGTCTCCGTGCCGCCTCCAGCCACCGCAGCTCCTTCGTCTGCGACCCCCAGCGCCTCGTGGTGCTGCCGCCTCTTTTTCTTCCTTTTCCCGGGGGACTGGGCAGTTTGTTCTCTGCTCGCCTCTTCCTCATTCCCTACAGTTGTTCCCTCTCTCTCATCTGTGACCTTTTCTTGGTGCCGTCTTTTCTTCTTGCCTTTCCTGACGCTCTGGTCAGCATGCTGTGAGTCCTTGTCTGCATTCCTTTCAGTTGCTGTCGCCTCTTTCTCGTTCTCCTTCCTTTTCTTTTTCCTTTTTTTGAGTGGCTTGTTCTCAGACTGCAGTTGAGGGGTCCCAGGGGCCTGGCCTTTGAGCTGGGCCAGGAAGGCCTGCTCCTGGGCCTGTAACCGAGCCAGCTTAGCCTTCATTGTGATCCCAAGACGGGCAGCCCTGAAACACACAGGGCCCACGTCAAATGGAGGGTCGGAAAAAACAGGCCTCATCCTCGGGCCTGCACGGAAAGGGGGCGGGGCTGTCTCCAGGCAGCTACAGAGAAGCGCAGACAGTGGGAACCCTCTCCCTTGGGTAGAAAGTCAAGTGGCACGGGTCACTGTCGCGGGTGGACTTGTAATGGCAGAAGAGGGAGGCCAGGGAGCGAGCCACACTCACTTGTGTGCTGTGCGTCCCTCGCAGGCTTGGAACAGCATCTCATCAGTCAGGCTGTGGGGTGGGGAGAGACCAGGGGTTAAGCACGGCCTGGCGGGAGGCCCGGCCTCTTCTCCGCTGAGACATCCCCTCGGCACGAGTCCTGTGAGGACCTGGCGCTTCTCTAGGTGCCGGGTACAAGGGTTAGTGCGACAGTTCCACCCCAAAGCAGCCAGTCAGGCACTAGACTTGGTCCTTCTCGCGCTCTGAAGTGTCTCCTCCCACCTGCCCCAGCGCTAAAATGAAGTCTCACATCTTTGGAGGTTGGGGCCCCTGGTTGTCATCGTCACTGCAGCTTTCCAAGTCCTTGTCTGGCTTCTCCCCACCTGAAGTCAGTGTGGCCTTCTAGAAGGAGGGATCATGGGGTGGACAAGACCCACTCAACACCACTGCCATTCCTCTTCCCTCCTGGAAGCCCCCCCAGAATTCACAGCCATAGGCACCAATCTGCGAGCCCCCCCCCCATCACTCCTTGCAAACCCACAGGTGCGCCCGACTGCAGAGTTCAACTTGGCAGGAAGTGGGCTGCTGGGGGCGGGTGGGGGGGGCAGTCTTGGCCTCCCTGGCTCACAGCTGGCTCACAGCTGGCTGGTGGGCAGAACAAGGAGGAAGGAGCACTCTGGACCGTCAGGTCTTCACGGTGCGACAAGTGCTGCCTGGCGGTCATGCCATGGTGCCAGTAACTGCCAATAAAGATGGCAGCTGTCCCCCTCCAACAGCTATGTATAGACTTACGTTTGACCAGACTGAGAGCCTACTATGGGCCGGGGGTGGGGGACAGAGTGGAATAAGAAGGAGATGGGCCCCGCCCCGATGGAATCTACGTGGTGGCTGACAGGATGGCGGAACACGCAGTTATGATAAAGCGCTGCTTGTGCTAGAGGAGGGGCACCTGCTCAGACTTCAGGGTTTGGCAGAGTTTCTAGAAGTAGCTGAGCTCTGGAGGACAAGAAAAAATCAGCAGGTAAAGGAAGAAAGGGAGCAGAATGTCCACTTAACCGTGAAAGAACACGGGACCTTGAAAAGAATCAGATTCCATCTGGCTAAAGTGTAGCGCTCCCGAGAGAAGTAGCAGGGACAAGGCATGAGGGCCACATGAGCCTGTCCGATAAATCTGGACTGTGTCACCATAAGTCAAGGAGTCAGTGACATGGTGAAATCTGTTAGGACACTGGATGCTCTGTGCAGGATAAAATGACAGGCGGGGAGCGAGACTCGAGGTGAGGAGTCTGGGATCAGGCAGGAGGTGACCAGAAATGGGAGATTCGCTGGTACCACGCAGAGCCCTTAGCACGGATGAGGTGACCATGACATGTCAGCTCCCTTCTACGGGTCTGCTCTTGCCATCTGCCGCTCCTAGCCAGCTGTGGGCTCCAGCAAGCCCCGGTGCCCTCCCTTTCGGCCACATCTAGATAATGAGGAGGATGGGTCAGATAATCCCAGTTCTCTGGCTTCTAAGTCCTTTGGGTTGGACATCCTCCCAGCCCCACCTCCCACCCCCGTCGCTGCCCCCTCAGCTGACGGCAGGAACCACACAACCTGGAGGTCTCAATTCTTGCTAAGTGTCTGGGCAGTCTGATTAAGCAATAGCAAGGCTGGTCACAGGATCCCTGTTAGGCCATCCTGAGAACAGGCAGGGTATCCAAGACAATTGTTGAGGCCCCAGGGAGACCAGGGAAGGGAGAAAGCATGGACCCTCTCACACCGAGCGTCTGATACCTTCACAAACTTCTGATACAGCAGGTTGGGCTTGGGCTGAGTGTGACGGGTGCTCTCCTTAGAAAGGCGCTGTATCTGCACTCCATCCTGTGGGGAAGTGTCAGGGAGTGGGTGACATGCCATGTCCCGGGCCCTCACGGACCAGGTGCCCGTCCCTCAGATTCATACCTGCCTAGTTTCCACTGCCAAGCTGGCCGCAGTCTGGTTGAAGAGCTCACTCCACCAGTGGTTGGTGAACTCCTTGGCAGGGTCGTGTCCCACCTGCCAGAGGAAGAAGTATGAACTCTGAGGACCTGCCTGCCCATCTGCAAGGGTCCCCTCTCCCCCCGCCACACGCCCCGCAGCCTGCCCAGTCTTACCCCATGCATGTCCTGCTTCAGCGTCACCCTGAGGGCCTGGGTGATGCCATTCTCCTTCCGGCCCAGGCCTTTGCCTGCAGAGACAGTGAGTGACTTGGCTGCTTCGGCCTGGCCCGCGCCCTCACGAGGCCCCCCAGCACATGCCACTCCTGCCATCCCACACACCCAGCCCTGGGCAGAGGCTGTTCCTCTCAGAAGCGGCCCCACTTCCCTTCTTTCTAGCACCGCCCCGCCCCTGCCTGTGTCTGAGCCTGAGCTATCTTTCCTTCATAATCCTTTCAGGACAGGTCACTGTTTGTTCCTCCCTCTCCCAGTCCTCCCAACCACTTCTTTCTTACTATCCATTGTCAAATTTCTTCCTCCTCTTCCCTTTCCTGGAAAAGCCAGAAATTTTCTTTGGCAAATTTCCCTTTAAACTAGCTTTTCTCCTCCAACCAAGTGGACTGCACAGGGGTGATCGAGCACGATGCGTCTCCCCGGGACGGGGAGGCAGGGAACTGGAGGCGTGTGTGCGCAGGGCTATGGGGATCACCTTGAGTCCATCCATACTTGAGCAGCTGCTCCTCAGCAAACTTCATCCCACGACTCTTGACCTCGGAGGTGACACTCATGGTGAGAAAAAAGTCACTGTCCTCAGGTCCTCGCCAGTGAAGAAGGGGTCACTATTGTCCGTTTAAGAGGGAAGGAGAAAGTGCTCCAATCACCACCAAATCCATGCTGACTGCTCTCATAAGAATTCTCTCCTGAACTTGAGGCAGAGACAGGAAGGAGGCTGGTCCTTGTGGAGCGCGAGGTCAACATCAACGTGTCGAAAGCTATTAATGATCTCTGCACCACACGCCAGTCTGTGCTAAGGCTTTACATGGATTTCATTTACTCTTCCCAGCCCAGAAAATTTCCTGACCTCTACATTCAGGAAAGTATTATTATCCCTGTTTTCCAAATGAGGAAACAAAGGCCAGGAGAGGTTAGGTGACTTGCTCAAGGTCACGCAGCTAATGTGTACAGAACTCAGGCCCAGGGAGCTTGTCTGTAGAGCCCTCACTCTTCACCACCACATGAGAACATCTCCCATGGCTCAGCACCATGAAAACAAAGTGATGAGATGCTTATTAACCAGAGTTGTAACAGTGCCTAGTAGAGCCCACATCCCATACCCACACCCTAGCATTTCCCATCCTCTCGCTGTGGGGGCCACACACCTTGTCCCAACGGCCGCTGTCTCTCAGTCTTGTTGAGCACCCCTCTGGAAACTGTCCAGCTTAGGAAGGGCACCCTTACTGAAAATGTAATACCTAATGGGTGGGTGGGTTACACATATATTGTCCCACTTAACCCTCCAGTCCTGTGAGATAGGACTTATCCTTACTTTACAAGCCAGGAAAACAGAGCCTGGTTTCTTGCCTGGGGTTACACAGCTAGTAAGAGATCGAACTGGAGTATGAGCCCAGGCTGCCAGAATCCAAAGTGGCCCTCTTTCTATCACATCCCAACCAACTGCATTTCTATAGTCACTCCAGCGTCCCTCCTCTTGGAACCCAAAATGGCATTATCAAACTGATGTACCAAATTTCCCTCTGAAATGGTTAAGATAGCACATCACACAAGACATTCAAAACTAAAACTATCACTGCTGACTTGACTCACTAAAGCCATCTTGTATTAAGATAATTTATTACAGGCACTGCAGATGGCTTTAAAGCTGATTAGTGGCACCACTGGAACAATCCTGTAGCCTCCCAAAGTGACAGCCCTGAAGGGTGAAACTTTCACGTGAGTTTACTCTGGTCTAGTAAGTACGCTCTACAAAAATCAGACACATCGTTGTCACTCCTCCCAAACGGTACATATTAGGCTTCAGAACGATGACCAGCCTGGTTAGGTATGAAGAACAGCAAATTCAGAATGACTCACATTTCTGTTCACATTTCTACTGGGAAGGACGATTACCTGAAAACCTGATACCTTGAGAGTCCCAACGGAAAACCACTGAGTGAGAGATGGCCCTACCTTGCTTCTTGATCCTGTCAAAGAGAAGTAAAATTCAAACACTGAGGCCTTTAAGGCCACTTCAAAACTCTTCTCAGTAGTTATCTCGGATCTATCAGCCCCCAGATTTCAATAATAATAATAACACTTATGCATTTACGCACTGCCAGCCGGTTGCTAGTTGATTCATACGGATTACCTCATTTAATCTTCCCAAAAGCCCTATTAGAAGGCGGTATTACTGTACTCGACAAACGAAAAAATGGCACTGAGAGGTTTAGCTATTTGCCCAAAAGAAACAGCTGGCCAGTGGTGGGCCCAGGACCTCAGGCCTGCCAGCTCTGCGCTTTCTGCTAACGTCCTATCACAGCCTATCCCTCGTCGCAGCAATTCGAAACAAGACGCCCCGGGAGGCAGGCACGGGCGCGACCCCCAACCCTAGCGCGCTCAGCGCAGCGCCAGGAGTCGCGAGTGCGTTCAGTCATTATCTGTTGAACGAAACGGGACAGGTGGGAAGGGCTGTAACGGGCTTACAACGGGGACCTGTGGACACAAGCTGCTAGGCCCCAGGCTGCGAGCACACTTTGTGGCGCTGTCTCCTCTCCATACAATCCTGAGCTTTCTGGAGAGGAGGCGGCCCAGAGGCGCACTTCCCACAGCGCTTCTAAGAGCCAGCTACCCTTTCCCTAGGCCTCCTTCTTCTTGAGGTCTAAATTCCAGCCCTCCTGACACAATTTTACTTGGATTAAACTACTCTTTTGAACCTGCGCTCCGACTGCCACCACTCAAAAGAGACAGGAGCCCCTTACCTTCACAGCAGGGTCCTTTCCGCGTAAAAGCGAGTCAGAGCAGCCACGTGGGCCGCCATCTTCCCGGAAGTGCCGGTTGGGTCCTTCTAGGCTGTCGAGACCATAGAGACGTGCGCAGGAACCAAAGTTCCGGTCCTCCCAGGAGAAACTGCGTCGGGGTGCGCCCACTTGCCTGTTTGGTTGCTATAGAAACAGCCCTGGGGAGGTGTTCCGCTTACTGCGTCCCTGCGGGCCCTGAGTGAACAGGACACTTCAGCCTTGTCCATCCCTCTCCGGATCCCCAAACAGCTTTGGGTCCCACCCTGAGCTGCATGTTACAACATCCTAATAAACGTTGAACACGTGTTAAGTGAAAGAAACCCGACACAAAGGCCACATACTGTATGGTACTCTTTACATGCAATGTCCAGGATAGGCAAATCCATAGACCCAGGTCAATCGGGGAGAGGTAAATGGAGCCTGACTGCTCATGGGTTCAGGGTTTCTTTTGGGGTTGATGACATACTCTGGAATTAGATAGTGGGGATGGTTAAGCTTGTGAACGTACCAAGACCGACTGAATTATACACTTTAAAAGGGTGAATTTTATGGTATGTGAATTATGTCTCAAAAGAAAAAAATCCCTCGCACACCTAAAATAACAAGGGAAGAACACTAACTCATAAGCAGTCATTTCTAGGTAAAGGGATTACGAGTGTTTCCCCTTCGTTATATCTTTTCTCTGATTTTCGATTTTTCTACAATTAACACATTTCATCAGGAACAAATAATTTTAAAACAGCAAGTGGATACAAATCAGAGTTCCTTGGCATAGAGAAGAGAACAAACGCAGGAGGGTGGGAGGGTGACCCTGAGATTAGCAAACCTTGAATTCCTTTCCAAGTTTCTGGAGCAGAATTAAATCCTAAAAACTAAGGTATTGGGACTATTTTTCTGTGCTGTTAAATCCATGCACAGTGTTATAAAAATCACACTATCATGAACTCACATGATATTTCTCTTCTTCCACTTCTCAGTTATTTTTTTCTGTTCGCGAAACCTGAGTCTGAGGGAAGAGAATAGTGTGGCTGCAGCTACAGCGTGGGGTTTCTAAAAGTCTGTACAACAAATACTGTCAATGTTTACCTAATAGAATGTTATTTATTTTTCTTTCTATTGAGGAAAAAAAGGCACACCTGTGTCTCACAGAGTTTTTCTCTTATTGATATTATTTCCTAATTCTCGGCCTAGGCAGTTTCTGATTTTCCTATTTCCTTAACCGTTTGAGTTCATGATAATAAAAATATTACAATCCTTTGCGTAGTGCTTTACTATTTAAAAATAGTTTCGTTTTAAACAGTGGTTTACAGTTTAACATATCACTTTCACAAATATTATATTTGCTTCTCACCATAACCCCATGTTGTATGTAATTGTCCCCATGTGTAGGTAAGTAACCTGAGGGCCAGACGGCACAGAAAAAGGCAATGGAATGAGAAGACTGTGACCTCAGCCACGAGCTGCTGCTCTTTGATGCAATCTAGTATGGGTTCTGCTTGACAAACATTTATTTCTCTTTGAAGCACCATTGCCACCTGCCCCTTGGGACCATCCTTCTCTCCAGAGCCCTGTACCACTGCCCCATCTAGTTCTCATTGCTTTCTTCTTTGAAGGGGCTTGCACACCCCAGTGTGTGTAAATGCTGGCTGTGCTGGGGGAGAGTGGATGACGGGGGTGCAGCAGGACATACAGGGGCCCCTTTCCTTTGTACTGCTTGCTGCGATTTCTAGGTAGCAGACACATCCATTTGGGTTGCTTTTTTTTATTTTTTAAAATGAGATAGGCGTATTCCAGATACATTACTTAAAATGCTGTGGAAATTTTCCTGAGAGCGGCAGTCTAAAAGGCACCTCTACTAGTGGGAGTGGAGGTGGGAAAGAGGGCCACTCTTGAACTAAAAACAGCAAGGAATCACAGCCTCATGGCTTTCTCTTGGCGCTGCTGCCACAGACAGGAAGAAAAATGCTTTGAGGGCATTTTTGAGGGCTCCCCCCCCCTCCAAACTAGAGCTTAGCTAATCACATAAGCAGCAAGAATTTGAAAGACGTCCTAGAGCTGCAAGGTTTCTGCTGCGTTTTCATCACGGAACGTCCTCCGCCCCAGACACGTGGTGATGCCCCAACGGTGCACAGCACAGAGCTGGGAGCGGAGCCCGGCACTCCGCAGGGCGCCTTAGGCGCATGATGCAGCCTGACATGGGGCCCGAATGATGAACAGGGACCGAGCTCTGTCCAGGACTGCTGGGCTGGGCAGAGCAGCCTCCAGGTGAAGCCCAGTCTCCTGCCAGGGCTGCACAGAGCATGTGAAACATGGCGGTGACACCCTCCTGCCCTCCCTAGAGATGGAAATATGGAGAGGAAGAGGGACAGGTCTCTTTGGCCCTCTACCACTTTCCGCCTCCCCTTCCTCTCTTCCTCCTTCCCCCCTTACTTCCTTCTTCCCTCTTCTCCTCTATGGCTGCCTCAGACTTTCTGGAATGCCCTCACTGTTCTGAGAGACTTGGCTAATGCGAGGATGAGTGGGTCCAGTGGCTTTCATCTTTTTGCCACCTGTTCTCCCCCACTCTAGCCTTGTTTCAATTTGAACCAACCATAGAGCAATCCATCGTGTGCTTTTCACTTGGCAGAATGCCGTTCCCTCTCCCCCATACCGGCCAGTCCCGTTGGGCAGAAGTGGTGCCCACTTAATAACCAGAGAGCCTGAAGCTCCCGGAGGCTGGTGTGGAGTCTCGTATGAGGTTAGCGTCTGGCGGGCACGGGATTCCTGACCATGGTCCAGCGTTCCTCCCACAACCCATGTGGCCTCATGCCCACGCCTCAGGTTGGCAGCATCCCATGTCCGCCTTCCTTGCACCCTCAGCTCTATGCACAGGACATAGGGTGCAGTGGGGCCTCCTGAGTTGAAAGCATGTCTTTCCTCAAGGCTGACTCCCCAGGGCCCATCTCCCACGTGGCCCTGCAGTGCGGCCAGGACCTAGCCCCACAACACCTGAGCCCGAAGGATGAGGGTGACCTGGGCCTCCCAGGGGGGAGGACAAAGGCAAGAGCCAGCAGAGGAGGAGCTGGAACTGCCTGCAAGACCTCCAGACTGCACACCTAGTCCCTCCCTGCTCTCCCTCCACCCCCGAAAGTGCCGCTGTGCCAACTCTTCCAGTCCTTCATGCGACAGTCCCAGCAGAAGACTGGAATCATGGCTGCCATCACCAGCGGCCCAGAAAATTGATCAGCCAAATGCACCCGGAGGGCGTAAGCTGAGCCTGTGGTGGTAGGAAAAGGAGGTGGCAGGACTCCATGCTTGTTCTAGGCGAACCCACCTCACCCTCGTCAACAGGAGTGGCAGAGGCCTCTCTTCAGAAGATGCTAGTTCAGTGAGAAGGTGCCAACTCAGGCCTGAGCTAGCGTACCCCCTTCCTATTTCAAAGTATCTTGGGGAAAACTGAGAATGATAGTGATCTTGAGCAAATTAAACACAGCTTGGCTATTCACTGCATGTTCAGTCCTGGTCTTTTCCTTTCTCTTCCATCCTCAGGGGTTATTTTTGCATCTATCAAATGGTTCTAGGCTTTCCTTCCTTCCTAACTCAGACTTTTCTGGATTTACATACCAGAGACTTCCAAACCACAATTTAGGAGTAATCTGGGGAGAAAGGAGTGGTGGGTGCTGGTGGGTGCTGCGTGAGTCTGGGAATGGTGGCAGTGCCGGCTGTGGAGCCTTTATTACACACACACAGACACACACACACACACACACACAAACACACACACTCGCGGGAGGCTGTTTGAGCTGGGCAGAGGCCAATCAGATGCCCTGGATCAGAGTGTCCTGGCCCAGGAGACAGGCGGGTATTTGTTTTCTCTGTTTGTCCCCTCTGGGAGGAGGAGGGAAGGGCTTCGGAACAGGGATGGGGCAGACAAGGGAAGAGATAGTTGCCCAATGCCCTAAGGGGTACCGTCAGGTGGGCACCTGCTTTGTCTGGCCCCAGTGAAAACCCTGCCACTCTTCTGGCGTGGAGTCGAGGAGCGGAAAAGGGGTCTTCGGAAAAAGCAGCCAGTTCTAGATTTCACATCAGAGCTGCGTGGTCCCCGGTGGGTCCCTTCCCCTCCCATCTATCTCCTCTTGGTCTGGTAACTGAGGAGGCACCCTGAACCCCTCCGGTTCTGAAAGTGTGTGGTTCTAAAAACACGAAACTACCGGTGTGGGGTTGCTCGGTGGAGAGAAAAGGCGGAGAGGCTCCTGGAAGCTCAGAGAGTTTTGAGATGGCTGTTTATGGAAGGAGTCCTCCCTCTGCATTGAGAGCAAACAAAAACGAATGTGCTTATTCCGGGTGTTGGAAAGTTTCTATATCTTGATGGGGGGTAGTTACATGGCGTGTGCTCTTTGTTGCCTGTAAATTACACCTCAAGATTTCAAAAATGAGCTTAAACTCCAACAGGAGCTTAGACTTCAGAAAGAAGTTCCTAACAAGAAGGTCATTAGAGAAGTGACTTCCTACCCAGGGACATGAAGGAAGGAAGGCGTTCCCTTTTCTTGAGAGCTTTAAAATTATCCATCCAAGCTGACGGAGGAGTTGGAGAACGAGGGGACAAGTAAGATGACCTCTCTCTTGGAGACCTTTCCAAGGTCCCTCCGTCCTCAGAAATCCCCGTGTCCCTTCCCAGGGACAGAAAGGTTGTCCTCCCTAATTTCTATCTCCTCTTTGCAATTCCAACCACTCACTCCACCCTCTGTGGAGTCTGCCCTCCCCCTGGCCTCACCCAAAATCTCTTTAGAGCCTTGAAGCTTGGAGTATTGAGGGGGACCCCGTTTCAACCTTCTCACCCCATTCTGTTCTCCTTGGGGATGTCAGTTCCTGTTCTAAGCCCACCCCACCAGGCCTTTTTTCCGGTGGTGTGTGCCAGCCGGTCCTGCATCCCACATCCCCAGCTGTTGACATTTCGTTGTCATTACCCACAGGATAAAGAAAGGGCCCCTGTTATTCAACAATAGGGGGGAAGACAGAGACAATGGGAAATTGTGCTTCCGATGGGGTGGGGACAGAGAAGGAAAGGACAAACAGATGGACAGACCGGGGGACTGGACAGAAGGGGTCAGGTTTCCTGAAGCAGCTGGAGGTCCTGCAAGTCTGGTACCCACCTGGAGAGCCTCTTCCCATAGGCGATGCACCAGACACCAGGGGGCAGAGGTGAGCACTTCCCTGGGGCAGGAGGAGGGGAGGGGTGCTCCTTAGATGAGGCCCGTATGGAAACATGGAGGCTGCTGGGCAGCTATGGATCTTTGAGCCTCACCTGTAGTCCATCCCCATGCCTTTCGGCCTAACATCCTCATACCCACCAACCAATCCACCCTTCCCTGGTCCGTGAACATCTATAAGCTGCACCCCGATCTCCATGCTCTTGTAGGTGACCTTTCCGGGTTGACTCCTTTACTCCCTGAGCCTCCGTGGGTCCCCAGCCCTCATGCCAAGCCCCATAGACATAGCGCCTGGTCACAGGGCTGGACACCGGTCACTCAGCCTAGCTTAGAGGACTGACAGCTGGCGGAGTTCTTGGTACCTTGGCTTCTTCTGAAGCTCAGAGCACAAGCCTTTCCTCAAAGGTGCAAAAGGAGCGGCCGCACTGACCAGATGCCCAAGTGCTGGGTTCTAAGGTCCCTGGACCTCCCAGGGCCTAGGCAACTCCCTCACGGAAACTCTGTTCCTCCAGCAGGACAGAAAGCTGCCAATCACCGCTCCCTCCACCTCTGTGAAGACAGCAGCTTCTAACAGGTAGGCACTGGAGCTGTTGGCCTCTCATTCTCCTCAGGGGTATGCAGGTCTCCTCAGGGGTATGCAGGTGTGTGTGCACCTGCCTCGAAATACGGAAATAGAGATCAGTGGTTAGGGGCTTACCCCTCACTGTCCAATCCGGATTCAGACGCCAGCAAAACCCTCCTCTTACAAGCGGTTTAACTTTACTGAGGTTTTCTAAAACATGTGCACCTTTGTTTGAGCACATAAAATGGAATTCATAATCATCTCTACCGCGTAGGCTTACTGAGGGGAATGACTATAAAAGTACACGTGTCAAGTGCTTAGGGCCATTTCAGGCACTGTTAACATTAAACTGGTCAGTGCTAGCGTTCATTACCATCAGTCCCTTCATCAATCTCAGGGACCGTGTCACTCTGTTTCCTAGGTTCTCCGGTACAGGAGAAGCGGTTCTCTCGCTCATGTCCCTGGTCTCAGATACTTTCCTTTTTAACCACTGGGAAGTCCTTTCTGTGCCTAACCCCCACTTCTCCTGCTGCAAGGTCATCTTTGGCCTTCGTTTGCAAGAAGGTGGAGCTCAGCTCCCTAGCTTTCTCCTCTTTGATGGTTCTTCCCTCTCCCCATGTCCCAGCTGGGCTCCCCAGAACTTCTGAATGTGAGCTCATTCACTAACACACACACACATGAATTTAGCGCCAACTGTATGCCAGAAACTACGCTGGGAGCTGCACAAATGAGCTAACACATACATAGCACTTACTATGCATCAGGCACTATTTTAAGTCGTTTACATGTATTATTTTCATCAAATCCTCACTTACTCAGTGAGGGAGGTGGGATTATAATCCACATGTGGCTGCTGAGGACGTTGAGGCAGAGAGAGGTTAAGTAACTTGTTCAAAGTCACGCAGCTAGGAAGTGGAGGAACCAGATTTTAAAAATGAATGAGGGGGGAGGGGGGCTGTTACTTTGTGAGGGTGAAAAGGGTAACTATTGCATTGTTCTGTACACCTGAAACTAACAATAAAAAAAATAAATTAAAAAAAATAAATGAAACTAGGTTAAGGGGTCCTCGGTTTAAAAAAAATGGTCAAGGTGACGAAGAAGTGATACAAGAAAGGGAAAAATCAACTACTGAAATAGACAATTGTGTTTGAAATCCTTTTTTATAACTTTATAATTACTGGAAAACTTACTGTTATAGTCTACAAACGCATATGTACTTTTTCAAATTCACACTGGTAATTTGCTAATAAAAGTACTTCTAAGGAAAAAGAGGCCCCAGTCCAGTGAGATAGGGGAACCAGACCACAGTGCACCCATGTGAAGGGGGAAGGTTTCCCAGAGGAGGTAAGACCCAGACTGGTGCCTGTGAGAAGGAGCTGAGAGTGAACTTGGGCTGCGTACGAGCCAAAAGTCCAACATGTCTGGAGCGCAGGGCAGAGGACACAGGTGGTGAGGTGCAGGGAGAGGCTGGATCCCAGAGAACCCTGGAAGAAGTGGTTAGGAGACTGGGCTTAGCCACCAGGCGCAACGGCAGCCACTGTTTTAAGCAGGAGCGTGACCAGATCTTATTTACTCTGACTTCAGAGGGGAATGGGTGTTGGGAGGGTAGAGGCTGGAGCTAGCAATCCAGATGGCAAGGCTTGGGGAGTGGCACCTGTGATGAGATGGGGATAGGGACAGGAGGTGCTCAATCAGGACTTGCTGACTGAAGGGATAGGAGAGAGGACGAGGGATGGGCAAGGGCGGGGGGGTTGCTACTGACCCTCTCCCCCATTACCTTCCTTTTGCCATCAATATAAGCCCCTTTGTCTGTCCCCATGGCTTCCAGCTGGACAGTCCCCTCTGAGGAGTCCCTGATGGGATTTCATCTCCAACCTGCCCCAGCCCCGCCCTGTCCCCCATCCCCTTAGTCCTAAAGAATGGCCACGCTTTGTGCCCCGCAGACCGAGCTGAGCTGACTCCCCATCATGCCAGGCTGGCTCAGTCTCCCCACACTCTGCCACTTCCTTCTTCCTTGGGCCTTCACCATCTTCCACAAAGCTCTGGGGGACCCAGGTAAGACCTTGGCTCCGCCCAGAATCTAGATAACAGTAGGGGAGAGGCTCAAGGTGTGGGGAAAGTTGGAAAGGGCAGCTGTTGAAGGTACCCAGAGATCGAGAGTCAAAACGGAGAAGAGGATGGGGGAGCCTGGGGAGCAGGGTCTGGATGGGCACTTGGGGACGTCGGGGTCAGGGGGTTCCTGCCACTGTGGTCCCCTCTGCTCAGCACCCCACCGGGGCCCCCACTACCTCCTGCCCCCCATCCACGAGGTCATTCACTCTCGTCGTGGGGCCACGGCCACGCTGCCCTGCGTCCTGGGCACCCCGCCTCCCAGCTACAAGGTGCGCTGGAGCAAAGTGGAGCCAGGGGAGCTCCGGGAAACGCTGATCCTCATCACCAACGGACTGCACGCCCGGGGCTACGGGGCTCTGGGGGGGCGAGCCAGGATGCGGAAGGGGCACCGGTTAGACGCCTCCCTAGTCATTGCGGGCGTGCACCTGGAGGACGAGGGCCGGTACCGCTGTGAGCTTATCAACGGCTTGGAGGACGAGAGCGTGGCGCTGACCCTGCGCCTCGAGGGTGAGGCTCTTCGGTTCCCACCCCGTTCCTCTCTTGCGGGGGGAGGGGGAGCACGCGGGGGGGTGTTCGGGTCTCCCAGGGCTCTTTCCCCAGCATCTCCCTGGGGTCCCCCTCCAGCCCTTTCTGCTAGACTGCGCCGCCTTTCCTTCCCATCCCTCGTCTGCCCGCCGTCCCCAGGCTGTCCGCCATCCCCCCCTCCCAGGTGTGGTGTTTCCGTACCAGCCCAGCCGCGGCCGGTACCAGTTCAATTACTACGAGGCGAAGCAGGCGTGCGAGGAGCAGGACGGACGCCTGGCCACCTACGCCCAGCTGTACCAGGGTGAGCGGCCGAGCCCGGGCACCGCCAGATCCCCTCCAGGCTGTCACAGGGAACCCAGCGGAGGCGACCTCCGGGTCCGGCTCCTGCCTGTGGCCGCCTCTAACCCCCCATGCCCCGCCAGCGTGGACCGATGGACTGGACTGGTGTAACGCCGGCTGGCTGCTCGAGGGCTCCGTGCGCTACCCTGTACTCACCGCGCGCGCTCCGTGCGGCGGTCACGGTCGGCCTGGTATCCGTAGCTACGGTCCCCGCGACCGGAAGCGCGACCGCTACGACGCCTTCTGCTTCACCTCTGCGCTGGCAGGTGAGGAACGAGAGGCGGGGCGAGCGCCCCGGAGCCGAGGGGCGGGGCCTGACGGGCTGCGAAGGAGGCGGGGCGGGGCGAGAGAGGCGGAGACCAGGATTTGGGGCGGGGTCTGCAGAACGGGGCGGGGTCTGCAGAACGGGGCGAGGTCTGCAGAACG